AATCACCAATCCCTGTGGAATCGACCTCGCACTTACATATGCTATACTACCAACGGTTCGTGCACTTGCGAGTATCACAAGTTGAGGATGCAGCTTAATCCATTTTGGTGGAGCTAAATCTACGCAACATAGCCCAACTTAGAGATGAGGTGTGATGATTGATGGGTGAAGGTGAGAACCTTCAGCATGTGCGTGAGGATTTGGGCAAGTGATAAACATACAGAAGACAAGATATACGTGGTTCACCCTTAATGAATGGGCTACGTCCACGGAGAAGTATATTCTCATTATTATAACAATGTGTATTTATATTTGTACAATGGGCTGGGCCCAAATATAAAGAGAAGAAAGTAAAGAAGCCCATGACTGAATACAACGCCCAACCTAGGGGGGATCCCTTCCTGAGTGGAGAGTGGTCTCCTTTTATAGATGAGAGGGAGTCTTCCCTTCTTGCAATATTTCAATGTGGGACTCTTGGCCTTGCTTAGAATTGCTTCTAGTTGCTTGGTCAAATATGGTATAAACACATCCCATCCCTCCTTTAAGAACTATGCCACTGAAATAAACTCATGAACACAGACAATCGCATTGTTCTAATCAGGTAGGTCATAAAATGAAGGAGCTAAGAGAAAGCTAATCGGCAATGTTTGACAGCAATAATGGGAAATCACTTCAAAAGCCTCAAGACATGGATTCATACTATTAGCATCTTACTAGCTCTTAATTCATTGATATAGAGAATTGGAAAATAATAAATTAAAAATTGATACATAAGTACGTACAGATGCAGCTGCCTTCCCCCTGCTGTTTCGGTAGCCTCTGGATCTACAAAATGTAATCCGACGAGTGAACACTACCCAAAGTTTATTCCAAAGCAAGCTCAATCATTTTCACGAGGAAACTCACACTAAAAAGTAAACAAGACTGCAAAATAGAGTTATAAACGGACAAAAGGGAAACCATCATCTGAACATGTTTGAAGGGTTGTGTGCACAAGTAGAGGACCTAAGAAGCTGCCACCGATACCAACAACAATGACATCCTTCGGGGCTTTTCCAGTATTGCCAATTACTTCAGAATTCAAGCAATATGATCCCAAAATGGATACTAAAAAAAATTGTAGTAATTACCCAAGAACTTCCCAAACATCTGGGACCACATTTTTCCCATCACTATGTATAAGTATAGTTGCATCCCTTGGAGCATGAAAAGCTACATGAAGCACTAATCTATTTTCTGTGCTGTTTATCTGAAGGCACCACCCAGAAAAAGAAAAACGGCGCAATGCAAAAGACCAATGCTGATATACTGTGAGGTTTTTTTATTTAATTTTTTATTTAATAAATAGTATAGCCGCACGGCTATACGATTTTGATATAATATAATTTAATAGTATAGCCGTTCGGCTATACTTGGATTTCTTTTTTAATGTTTTTTAATAAATAGAATAGCCGCGCATAGGGCTATACTTGGATTTTTTTAATAATATTTTTTAATAAATAGTATAGCCGCCCGGCTATACCTCTGTTTTCTTTTTCTTTTCTTTTTTAAAAACTTTTCCCTGAATTTCATTTGTCGATAAGAGTATTTTATAGCATTATCCATTACTATTTGGCCATTACCGAAGTCTCTATTATCCCCTTTTGATTTTTTACTTTTCTAGAGTTATTACCTATATAAAGAATTTAGCATTTTCCAGTTTAATACTCATATTATACACATACGTATGTATTTTTCAATAATACTTCTATTTTCTGTACACATCTTAAAGACTTCGGTAAAATACACATTTTTTTTTATAAAAGCAAACGTACAATACATGTATGTATGTATTTTTCATTTTTAATATTACATGTGTTTTTTAACAAAATTTTTAATAATACACACAAAATTAACGTATTATACACAAATTTTCCACATATTATTGAATAAAAATAATATGTATTAAAAAAATTATATCAAAAAATTATATAGTGGCTAAACTTTTCAATTGTAACTTGCTAAAATTTTACCGAATAAAACATATATGTATTTTATTCATATTTTTATCGTTCTCCAAATGAGGGGTTGCGCTACACTCTCGACATAGCAGCCGAAATCATACCTGACAAAGATGCTTCTGGCTTAGGCCATGGAAATTGGCCAGAAGGACTAGAGAAATTGTTGAACTATGTAAAGGACAGATACAACAACCTCAAAGTCTACATTTCTGAGAATGGGGTTGCTGGTGCCAGGAATGATTCTCTTGACCTTGATCAAAAAGGCGATTAAGAATTGAGTGAGTGTCAAAGGGTACTTTCATTGTTGACAAATAAAAAATAACAATATAAATTTTGAGAAAGAAAAGCTTCAACTGTTGGCTTAGGCTTGATTTCTTTGGTGTCTTGTTAGGCTTGTTGTTGGGGGAGCTTCTATAATGAGGATGCTATTTGAGGAGTTTATTTGAGGAGGCCCATCTCACCATCAAAAGGGGTGTGGACCCCCCAATGCACCCCCCCCCATGTGCTTTGTTTTTTGTTGTTGATGGTGAGATTTCACCTTGTTAAGCTCATAATTTCATACATATACATGCCCAATTTACTTACTTCTTTTGCTTAGTTTCTTATAATTTTGAGTTATTTGCCTCCCTTTGTGTGTTTTGTAGGCCAAAAGAGCAAGAGAGCATAATTCATGCAATTCATGCATGTTAAGGCCTAATTTGGATGAAGAGAAGAAGAGCTTAAAGACAAACTCATTTTGGCTACAGCCCCCTGCCAGTCCAGTTCCGTAGGTCATATTGCA